TTTTAAGTTGTTTTTCACTATTATTCAGTTTGAAATATTTTCTAATTCCTTTGTAATATAGTCTTTGAGCTATTGATTAATTATAAGTTTGTTGTTTAATTACGCAAATACTGGAGTTTTGCTAGATAACATATTGTTACTGAGTCTTAATTTTCCATCTACTATTATTTTAAAAATTTACTTGTACTATTTCATTGCTTTTAAGTTTGAGACTTGTTTTTTGACAACATATGGTCTACTTCCAAATATTTGCTTTTTCCTAGATGTACTGCATTTACTGAATCTATAATTCAATTCCACTTTGATAAGAGACTACTCTCTGTAACTTTAAGTATCTAGTCAATCAGTGCACTTGAAAACAATGTGTATTGTGCCATTATCAGGTATAGTGTTTTATAAACATTACTTAGGTTAAGGTGGTTGAGAGTGCTGTTGAGTCTCATTTTAGATCCAAAAACACAAATGGGTTAAAGTGAAAAGATGGAAAAAGATATTCCATGCAAGTGGTAACCAAGAGAGCTAGGGTAGCTATACTAATAACAGATAAAATATACTTAAATCAAAACTGTTACAGGAGATAAAGAATGGTATTATATGTTGAAAAGAGGGTCAATTTATCATGAAGGTATAATAATTATAACATGAGTGCATCAACATCACAGCTCCAAAATACAAGAATTAAAAATTACAGGATTAGCCTGGCCAGTGCTGCTCAGTGGTTGAATGTTGATCAATGAACCAAGTGGTTCTATTCCTGGTCAGGGTATATGCCTGGGTTGCAGGCTCAATCCCCAATAGGGGGCATGCAGTTTCTCTCATCAATGTTTCTGTCACTCTATCCCTCTCGCTTCCCCTCTTTCTAATATCAATAAAACTTATTTTTTTTTAAATTACAGAATTAAGGGAGAAATAGTTCTACAATAATAGCTGGACACTTCACTACACCACTTTCAATAATGGATAGAACAACTGGACAGAAGATTAATTTAAAAATAGAGGACTTCGCCCGGCTGGCATGGTTCAGTGGTTGAGCGTCAATCTATGAATCAGGAGGTCCCGGTTCAATTCCTGGTCAGGGCACATGCCCAGGTTGAGGGCTTAATCTTCAGTGGGGGGCATGCAAGAGGCAGCCAATCAAGGATTCTCTCTCATCATTGATGTTTCTATCACTTCCTTTCTCTCTAAAATCAATAAAAATGTATATTTTTTAAAATATAGGACTTGAACAATAAATCAATTGAACCTACTGACATATACTGAACACATTACCCAATAACAGCAGACTACAGATTTTTTTTAAGTGTGCACAGAATATTTCCCACATGCCCCCAGGATAGACAATATGTTAGGCCACAAAATAAGTTTTACTACATTTAAGAAGACAAATCATAAACAGTATCTTTTCTAAAGACAATATATTAAAACTAGAAACCAATAACAAAAGGAAAACAAAAATTCAAATATTTGGTAGCAACACAATCTTAAATAACCAATGAGTCAAAAAATCAGAATGGAAAGTAGAAAATACCTTGAAACAAATGAAAACAAAAACACAACACAACAAACTTACAGGAGGCAGTGAAAGTAGGGCTCAGAGGGAAATTTACAGACATAAATGCTTACACTAACAAAGAAGGAAGGTCTCAAATCAGGAACCTCAGTTCACACCTTAGAGAACTGAAAAAGAAAACTAAAGCCAAAGCTAGAAGAAGGAAGAAAGTAATAAAGCTCAAAGTAGATAAATAAAATAGATAATAAACAATAGAGAAAATCAATAAATACAAATACCAGAATTGACAAAATTTTAGCCAAATAACTAAAATGACAAAAACACCCTCAAATTATTAAAATAAAAAATGAAATTGGGGATGTTACTTCTAATGTTGCAAAAATAAAAAGGATCTTAGAGCACACTATGAATGGCTGTATGCCAAGTAATTGGGTAATTTAGATGAAATGGATAAATTCCCAGAGACACACAACCTGCCAGACTGAATTATGAAGAAACAGAAAATCTGAACAGATTAATAATTAGTAAGGAGATCAAATCACTAATCAAAACCTTCCAACCAAGAACATCCCTGGACCAGAAGGCTTACCTGGTGAATGCTACCCAATATTTCAAGAATAATAAACAACAGTTCTTCTCAAACTCTTCCAAAAATCTGAGGAAGAGAGAACACATCCTAATTCATTCCATGAGACCAGTATTACTGTGATACCAAAGTCAGACAGATACACAGGCAAAGAAACTACAGAACAATATGTCTTATGAATATTGATGCAAATTCCCTCAACAAAATAATAGCAAACCGAATTTGGCCGCATAGTAAAAGGATTGTGCAGCATGATCAAGTAGAATTTATTCATGGAATGTAAGAGGTTTCAACATACAAAATTAATTAACATAATGCACCACATTCAGAAAATTAGGGAAAAACACATTATCATCTCAATTGATGCAGAAATTGAAAAAAACTGATAAAACACTCAAGAAACTGGGAATAGATGGAATCCTCCTCAACATAAAAAACGATAGCTAACATTCTCTTTCACCTACGATCAGGAAAAAGGCAAGGATGCCAGCTTCCAATGCTTCTATTCAACCTAGTTTTTAAAGTTGTAGTCAGAGCAATTAGGAAAGAAAAGGTATCCAAATTGTGAAAGAATTAGTAAAAATATTGGTAGATGGTATGATCTTGTATGGAGCAAACCATAAAGATTCCACATACAAAAAAGTCAGAATTAATAAATGATTCATCAAAGTAAAAGGATAAAAAGTCAACAAGCAAAAATCAGATGAACACTGTACAGTATCAGTGAGCAATCTGAAATGGAAATTAGGGAAACAATTTCATCTACAATAGCATACAAAATAATAAAATACTTAGAAATTAACCAGTGAGATGAAACACTTGTACAAATAAAAAGTAAAAAATTGGTCAACTTGCCGAAACCGGTTTGGCTCAGTGGATAGAGCATCGGCCTGCGGACTGAAAGGTCCCAGGTTCGATTCCGGTCAAGGGCATGTACCTGGGTTGCGGGCACATCCCCAGTGGGAGGTGTGCAGGAGGCAGCTGATCGATGTTTCTCTCTCATCGATGTTTCTAACTCTCTATCTCTCTCCCTTCCTCTCTGTAAAAAATCAATAAAATATATTAAAAAAAAAAAAAAAAATTGGTCAACTTTGCAGGCCAACACATTCAGCAAACCTTTGAAAATTAGAAAACACTGACAATGCCAAATGTTGGTAAAGATACAGAAAAATCTAAACTTTCAAATATTGCTAATGGAAGTACAAATTGGTAGAGCTTTATTGGTAAACTTTGATGTTATTTACTAAAGCTAAATATGCATAACCTAACATTCAGGAAAAAAAGAACTATATAAATAAAATGTTCATAGATGCATTACTAATAATACCCAAACTCCAAACATTAAAGGAAAATAGTGATAGTCATACTATGGAATGTTAAAACTCATAGAATTCAACAAATATAAATGAACTACAGCTACATGTGTAGCAAAATGAATCACAGAGACACAAAATAGTACACGATTACATTTATATCAAGTTCAAAAACAGATCAAATTAACCAATAATAAATGTTTTGAGGGTACACAAGCAGACTTCTATTGTTGGCAGTGTTTTATTTCTTAGCAGGGTCGTGATAAAGTGGTCATGGTTTCTTTATGATAAATCCATTCAACTATTCTACTATAGCTTGAATGTTTGCGTTCCCTCAACATCCTATGTTGAAAATCAAATCTCCAATGTGATGGCACTTTAATGGGGCCTCTGAGAGGTAATGAGGTGATACTGCTTTTACAACGGAGGCCTGGGAGTTGTTCTTGCTTCTTCCACTTTGTGGCTACACAATGAGAAGGTGCTAATTATGAAACATGAAGTAGGTTCTCACCAGACATCAATATGTTGGCGCCTTGATCTTAGATTTTTTTAGCCTCCAGAACTATAAGAAATAAATTTCTGTTATTAATAAGCTACCTAGTTTGTGGTATTTTTGTTACATCAGCCTGAATAGATTGACATGTACATGTAGTTTAGACACTCTTTCTGGGTGTATGCATGTTATACTTCAATGAGAAATTTTAAAATAAAAAAGAATCAGTATTTTAAGCCACATGGTTGATGTCTGTGTATCATGTTCTGAGGACCCAAAGGAAAAAGTGTTAATTTATCATTGATAATTACAAAGATTTATCAAAAAACTCATAAATCAGAAATTGGTAAACTTTTATCTAAATTCACCTAGACACAATTTCACAAACCAAATTAGTTATTTATTTGTATTTCACCTTATTCCAGGTATATTTTAGAGCATTTGGCATTTAAATTCTATCTGCAATATTCTTGTGAAGTTGTCTTCTAGAAAGAAAACTAAACACCAAACCAAGAACTCCAATAAATACAAAGTTTTAAGAAATTGCCTGGAGATATAAGTGCTCACTTTTTGTCTGTTACTGAATCATAACCACCCACCAATACTAAGTGAGTAGAAATGATCCAACCTTCCACAAAAGTTTTCCCAAAAGTTTATTTTCTTCATTAGATTCCACATATAGTACTTGTCTTTCTCTGACTGGTTTATTTCACTTAGCATAACAAACAAAATAGAAACTGACTCAGATACAGAGAACAGACTGACAGCTGTTGGGGGGGAGGGGTACTAGGCAAAAAAGGTGAAGGGATTAAGAAAAAAAATACCTCATAGACACAGACAACAGTATGGTGATTATCAAAGGGAAAGGAGGTAGAAGAGGAAAATGAGGGGATAAATGATGATGGGAGGAGACTTGACTTGGGGTGATAAACACACAGTACAACATAGAGATGATGTATTATAGAACTGTACACCCCAAACCTATATAATTTTATTAACCAATGTCACCCCAATAAATTCAATAAAAAAATTTTAACCATTTGCCTGAAAGACCCCACATTTTCCACAAAGCTCTATGTCACAAGAAAGTGGAGTTACCTTCAATCGGTTTTCCTTTTCCCACACAACAGACTGAATGATGGTAAGATAATTCACAATGAAGACAAATAAGATTACTAAAGGGGCGAAATCACTAAATAGGATATAGAAGAAATCATTATCATATCTTGGGTATGGAAATCTCTGAACAAATACATGAACATTTGTGAACAACTGTTGTGCGGTCTTGTGGTTATGATATTTCATGATGGCCTTATCCAAGGCATGCTGCATAAGCAGGAACCCTTCAGAGATGTACCCTAAATAAGAAAACAAGGGTTACTAAGTACAACACAACAATAAATAGCTAAGCTGAACAAAGAAAAAGGCAATAAAACTATGTCAAAGATAAACAACAAAGTTAATGCTGTGATGAGGTCTTTGCCAGTCTAAATTTTACAAAGCCCTGTTTAGTAGGCACTAAATTTCACTTTGGAAAAATGAAAAAAGTTCTGGAGATGTATGGAGGTGATGGTTGCACAATAATGTCAATGTACTTAATGCCACAGATCTGTATACTTAAAGGTGGTTTAAATTTTATTATGTATACTTTACCACAATAAAAAAGAGTTTTAAAAAAATTTACACACAGCTATCATGGTGCCCCCATACAGATACATAATACTTTTTTTTTAAAAGATCCTAATTCCCAGCTTCCCATAAGCAAAATATTGCGAGTAATTATAGTACTGTTTTCTTCAATTTCAATCAACTGAATGAGCACTGGATAAATTACTTGATAGGGAAAGACTTTGATTCTGTACCTTGACATTTGAATGAAAGTCAAGCTGAGTGAGTTATATGAACTGATGTCCACTAAGGCAATGCTACTCAGTGAGCCTTAGATCTGTCACAGTATGCAAATACTCTCTTACCAGTAGACGAATTTACTATAGAAATTAAGAGCAAACACATAAAAACTTTTATAGAAATTTGGCATTTCCATGACATCTAAAAACTGGTCTTTCTATTAATCTATGTAAGTCCTTTGTAGGCTTTAAATATAAATCGTGTATCATATTTTCTCCCCTGTGAATGAGGCCTTTTAATTTTTAATAGTCTTTTAAATGATCATAAGTACTTAATTTTAATGAAGTTCAATTTATCATTTTTTCTTTTATAGTAAACTAGAGGCCCAGCGCATGAATTCAAGAACGGGTGGGGGGAGAGGACTCCTGGCGAAAGTTAAAGTCAAGGCTCTGGGAAGGATAATTGGCCAGAACTCTGAGCCCTGAGGATCAGAGGGAACCCACACAGCACTGGCTTGGGCCACATCCCATGGGACGGGTGCAGTGGAAAGAAGGTACGCAGAACTGCTGGTTGGCTGGGAATTCTAGATCTGGGTCCACAATCAGGAAAGGCTAAGGAGTGCCGGCAGGAGAAGAGCGCAGAGAAGCTTAGTTCAGTGATGGCGAACCTTTTGAGCTCAGTGTGTCAGCATTTTGAAAAATCCTAACTTAACTCTGGTGCCATATCACATATAGAAATTTTTTGATATTTGCAACCATAGTAAAACAAAGACTTATATTTTTGATATTTACTTTATATATGTAAATGCCATTTAACAAAGAAAATCAACCAAAAAAATGAGTTCGCATGTCACCTCTGACACGCGTGTCATAGGTTCGCCATCACTGGCCTAGTTCATAGGACTTTCGGATACAGACACTTACCTGTGGCTGGAGTGAGGGAGAAGGTTCAGAATTGTGGAATCTGGGGAGAGAGGGGGATCCAGGAGAAGTGGCAGCGAGTTTGGTGCTGAGTCATGCCTGAGCCTGGGATCTGGGTAGCCATTTTGCCCTGAAGAGATAGCCCCTCCCTCCAGTACCCAGGCAACTAATACAACCACACCCAGATTCCATCTTGAATGGTAAAAGGATTAAAAACAAAAACAAAAGAAAAAACAACTAACAACTAAATAGTCCCTAAGAGCACAAAGGTGCTGGACTAAAGAGGGACTCTCAGTCCCAGCAATCAGAACCTGAGAAACACTACAGTACAGAAGACTGGGATCTTAAGCCAGCCAAAGGAACACTTCACTTTTTCATTTTTATTTTTTTAAATTACTTTATCTCTTTTTTTTCTTTGTTTTTCCTGTTTTTGTTTGTTGCTTTATTTTCTATTTCTTTTCACATTATTTTTCCATCCCTCTATTTTATTTTATTTGTATTTGCTATTTTTATACCATTTTTGAAATCAAATTTTTTGTAAATTTATTATTATTTTTTTGCGTTCTCTTTCCTCTTATCCACCCATCCCCTTTCTACTTCTTCCATACTGAACTGAGATCTTCCCCATATTCATCCAACTCTTAACCTTATATTCTATATATCAGCTCAGCATCTACAGATTCTGCCCCCACCCTCTTTGCTGGGGGTTTGGTGTTTGTATTTTTTTAATTTTTTAATTTTTTTATCATTATTACTATTATTATTTTTGTTGTTTTGATTGTTTACCTATTGGTTCTGTGGTGTTTTCCCCCATATATATATTATTTATTCTCTGAAAGAATTTTATTGTGTTTTTATTCATGCCTTGGCTGTACATTGTACTTCTTTGCTTATCCATATTATTTGCTTTGTGTTGTATTAAGTTGTTTTTCTTCTTGATTTGAAACAGGGCTTTGTGTATTAGAAATATTATTCCTTTTATTATTCTTTGAATTACAAATATTTCTCTCAGTTCATCTTTTAGCTTTGCTTTTGAAGTTTGCAACTTACAGAAATGTCCAGGCAAACTCACCAATACTTCTCTTTATAGACCCTAACCTTCTGTCATGCTTAAAAGGGTCTTTCTTTTTTTGTGTTAATTAAATCTTTATTGTTCAGATTATTACATTGGTTCCTCTTTTTTCCCACCATAACTCCCCTCCACCCAGTTCCCACCCCACCCTCCACCCTCACTCCGCACCCATTGTCCTCATCCATAGGTGCACGATTATTGTCCAATCTCTTCCCGCATCCCCCACACCCCTTTTCCCCCCAAGAATAGTCAGTCCATTCCCTTTCTATGTCCCTGATTCTATTATAATCACCAGTTCATACTGTTCATCAGATTATTTATTCACTTGATTTTTAGATTCACTTGTTGATAGATGTATATTTGTTGTTCATAATTTGTATCTTTACCTTTTTCTTCTTCCTCCTCTTCTTAAAGGATGCCTTTCAGCATTTCATATAATACTGGTTTGGTGGTGATGAACTCCTTTAGCTTTTCCTTATCTGTGAAGCTCTTTATCTGACCTTCACTTCTGAATGATAGCTTTGCTGGATAAAGTAATCTTGGTTGTAGGTTCTTGCTGTTCATCACTTTGAATATTTCTTGCCACTCCCTTCTGGCCTGCAAAGTTTCTGTTGAGAAATCAGCTGACAGTCGTATGGGTACTCCTTTGTAGGTAACTGACTTTCTTTCTCTTGCTGCTTTTAGGATACTCTCTTTGTCTTTTGCTCTTGGCATTTTAATTATGATGTGTCTTGGTGTGGTCCTCTTTGGATTCCTTTTGTTTGGGGTTCTATGCGCTTCCTGGACTTGGAAGTCTATTTCTTTCACCAGGTAGGGGAAGTTTTCTGTCATTATTTCTTCAAATAGGTTTTCAATATCTTGCTCTCTCTCTTCTTCTGGCACCCCTATAATTCGGATGTTGGTACGCTTGAAGCTGTCCCAGAGGCTCCTTACACTATCTTCGTATTTTTGGATTCTTTTTTCATTTTGCTTTTCTGGTTGGGTGTTTTTTGCTTCTTCGTATTTCAAATCTTTGACTTGATTCTTGCGATCCTCTGGTCTGCTGTTGGGAGTCTGTATAATATTCTTTATTTCAGTCAGTGTATGCTTAATTTCTAGTTGGTTCTTTATCACAACATCGAGGGTCTCACTAGATTTCTTGAGGATCTCACTATATTTATCGGCGGTCTCACCAGTCTTTTCGAGGGTCTTACTAAATTTATTGGCGGCTTCTAGACAGTTCTTTAAAGACCTTAAAAGTGTGGTTTTGAACTCTATATCCAGCAGTTTGCTTTCTTACATTTCTGTCGTTTGTGTCCTGTTTCTTTGTCTCGGCATTTTTTATGCTTCCCTGTGTTGATAAAGTGGTTTTCTATGCTGAGTGTCCTCTAGGGCCCAGTGGTTCAGCCTCCCCAATTACCTGAGGAGGACACTCTTGGTGTACCCCCTTGTGGGCTTTGTGCACAGTCTTGCTGTAGTTAAGCCTTGATTGTTGTAGTTATCACTGGGAGGAATTGACCTCCAGGCCAATTGGCTGTGAGAATCAGCTGTGTCTGCAGTGGGAGAACTTCTGTGCTGGAGACACCCCTCTGGGGCAAAACTTGCTTCAATGGGGCTTTGGTGCTCACTGAGTCTGCCCCCTGAGTGTGTCCTTTATGTTTCCAGGGAGCTGCAAACTGGATGGTCCCACTCTGACCTCTGGGCTTCCTGGCTCCTGGATCTCCAGGGAGGTGCTAATCTAGCCTTTGCCTGAGGCTATCCAGCAAAAGCCTCCCTGCAGGGCTTGGGCGGGGTGGGTCCCACAGGATCAACAGGGCGGGGCTAGCAGTTATGGCTGCTCTCAGTCTTGCCCTCAGAGGTTCTGCTTCTTAGTGTCCTGGTAATCGCTGCAAGGCCCTCGGAGAGAAAGCTGCCCTCGAGTACCGACAGATGCCAGACAGTCACGCTTCTCCCGTATGAGTCTGGGTCCCTAGAGACTCACCCGGAATTGGAGCTCAGAGCCTGAGACTCCCTCCCGATTGAAAACGACAACCGCGCCCTCAGCCGCCAGCCCGCTCCACATGCACCTCCGCACCTTAGTATTTTACTTCCGTACTGCCCCTCCTCTGAGTCTTGGTATGCTTTTCTCTTTCCTTCTAGTTGTAGAATTTCCACTCAGCCAGCCTTCCTGTGTTTCTGGATGATGTCCGTTCCGTCTTTTAGTTGTATTTTTTAAGTGGTTGTTCGAGGCAGCAAACTCCAGTGTTTACCTATGCTGCCATCTTGGTTTCTCCTCAGAAGCCTAGCCTTTTTAGGGGAGAGCTGCTGTAACTGGGAGCCAGGCCTTACCCCAACCCAGGGTGCCCTCAGATGTCACCTGGGACTCTACAGACACCCCTCCAGGGACCTGCTACCTTGGCTGTGGTCCCAGAGTCAACGAGTCTCCAGCCACCCTGGGCACAGGCTCCTGTGAGTTCTGAAGCATGCTCCCCTCTGACTGGACCAACGCCTTAGCCCAGGGAACTGCAACCACACAAGCAGCAGACACGTGAGTGGCCTA